TGAATGCTTTTATTTTTATTTGAAAACACACGGCAAATTGTCTTTCAGAATTGCTGAAAGAGACATATAATTCCAATGAATGCTTTTTGGAACAGCGGCTTAATTCATTTGGATATTAAACAGAAATAAGCGAGTAAAGCATATCTTTAAAGAATTCATTTCTTCTGGTCATCAATCCTTCCATATCACTCTCACATATTTCTTTTCTATTTCAATTCATTTAATTAGCACTTTTTTCCCTGTTCATTCCGCATTCCTCTCTAAATTTGAATACGGTGGTCTTAAATCTTCCTCATATTATCATTTTCATTTCATTTTTTTGTTTTGAGATATCTTTGATTTGGGTTGGTCGAATATTTGGTGATTAATTTCTTTGTAAGGAGAAGATAACATCAGCTTTGTGGTATTGATGAGCATATCAGAGTATGATGTAAAGTTGAAGTGGGAAGAGTAAAGGCACTGTTTATGTTTTCACCATCACCCCTATGCAGGAAGAGAATAAGACTGATTTACATAACTTTATGAATTAACTAAGTGATCATTATGTTAGATATTACAATATTCATTAACTTACAATTTATACGACCAATTACTTCACTGAGAATTATTTTAATAACAAAAATTACTTTAATTATTAAGATATATTTATCATAAATTATTTCATTTTTCAGATTACAGCCAGAAAAAGTTATGACTTTCAAAGGAAGAGTTTGAAATTTGCTATGAAGTGCTTCAGTGAATATTTTCTGTCCCTCTTTGTCCATTAAAGAAGCTGCAATAATTCCATGGGAATAACGACAGTCTTCTTTTTGTTTGAACTTTGAATATAAAGTGCACAAAAAGGAGATTGAATTAATTCTGTTTTCATTTGATGGCAATCAATACAATTAATATTATGAAATGGTTTACAGTAATGATAATAAATTTCTTTTCGTAGTAAATTCTGTAAGTTATTTTTAACGATTTCCCAGTTCTTGTTGGCTGACTCTGTCTTTTGTGTACAGGACACGGTTGCATTAATTCATTCAATTCCAAACTTATTATTCCACCTCCAATTTCAACAGCTTTTTAATTTATTTTTTTAAATTTACAAGAAGCGATTAGTAATCTTTCGTCAATTCTTTAGCTGCTACATAAACTCTTTGTAATAGCAATTTTGCAGTTAACGTTGGATTATTGAGTCATAACCAATCAATTTCGATTTCGAAAACTTTTTTGATATATCACATCAAATTGTTAACGGTGTTCTTTCTGTATATTAGAATTCTAAATTTTCTGGATTAGAGGTTTTTTTCCGGACTGGTTTCTGATAAATAATTGGTTTTCATCCATATCAATGATAATATCGCCTTTCATTGGACATCGATCAGTAAATCGTTGCTGTTATCTGTTCCTATTATGGAGAAAATCATTGGTAATAATAAGCTTTTCATTGTGAAATTTGCATCACTTTTGTCTCGATTGGATTCGTTGTCGTATTTTGGCAGCGACTTTGGCAAACTGATTAATATTAATTATAAATTATGAAGAAAAAAACAAAAGATTACTGATGTTTGGAATAAAAAGTTTCGATCAAATGATCAACATTGTAATTATAAATTCACAGGAAAGAACTTCTTTCTGACCATATTAATATGTGAAAAATATTTCATTTTGTCTTTCACCGAATTTGAAAATCGTCAGATTTCAAAATTTTTTAAAATTTGATCGATGATGAAGTTAGTTGTGATTTCAAAATATAAAAAACTTCGCTTCATTAAATTTATATTTTATAGCCGAACTACATTAGCAAATAGATTAGTGCAAACGAAAACATCAAAATGAGAAAATTACGTCACTGAAGGGAACTATTTCGATATTTCGGGCAAATTTCATTACCTGGTGCATTTATTTTCCATTCGGTCCTACTTCTCCTTATGATCCTCGCCTACCTTTCATCCCTTTTGACCCTGGTGCTCCTTTACCACCTGCCTCACCTTGCTCTCCTTGTGGTCCTATCACTTTTTGTTCTCCTTTCGGGCCAATATTACTTGGTCTTCCCAGCGGCCCTTCAGGTCCTTCTCGACCATCTCGTCTTGGTGGCCCTGGCGGTCCTTGTCTCCTGACATTTGTGATGGAGGACAAGTCTGAAAACAAATTTTGCGAATAATCTCTTTTTAAACATAATTTTTATGATTCAGAAACAATTA